TATATACAATCATTTAGTTGTCCATAATGCTAACATCCCTCATAAATTAACGTTGGTGGATTAATAAGCATAAATTTGCCTACTAGAAACTAATGGTGTTGCGGTTCCATGGATTTTGTAAACGAATCAGCTATTTGAAGATCACTGGTAAACTGTGAAAGAATAATGACTCCTTTATCTACAGTTTCTTGTTTATAATGAGAATCCACTTTGAGGTGTTTGGTCCTCTCATAAAAAGTCGGTCCTCTCATAAAAAGCTATATTCATAGAAATCTGAACAACACATGTATAGTCATGGTTGAGCGGACTAGAATCAGTTCGAGGAAATCCAATCCCATTAAGTAATCCACGAAACCTACAACCTGGGAGCAAGTAATATACATGGATAAATATTCAATCTCTGTTGAAGATTTTTACACACGATCTTTCTTTTTACTCTTTTAATTTATAAATGACTTTCCAAGAAACATAAACCAACCTGAGACTGAATAATGAGTATCAGGATATCTCGCACAATCAGAATCACTAAGAATATTAAGACGAATAGGGAAACCAGTTCGAAATAACAATCCATGAGTAAATGTTCCTAGAATGCACTGAATAATGTGATGAACATCTACCAAGTGGTCAGGGGAGCTTCCATAAATTGACTAACTTGTGGAAGTGCAAAAGAGATATCAAGTAGAGTAACAGTAAGGTAATTTAAACTCCCAACTAATTGTCGAAATATAGTTGGATCAGGAGGATCATCACCTTCCTCATTAAGATACTTGAAATTTAATTCTAGTATAATATAATATCAATATATGTATGCCTTAGTTACCACGATTCAGGCAGACTTATGAGAATAATATAACCTTATATATCCATGAGTAACAATATTCAAGAGAGATTAAAGGTTTTTACCCAATGCAAATTGGGTCATCCTCGTATTTTCACCGAAAAATTAGGGTCAAACGGCTAATATTTTATATACTTTCTTCTACAGGTTATTATTACCCTACTTGTTATATATGAGTAATTATAAAAGTGTGAAAGTGAACCACTATAAATTATAATGTTATTTTCTTTAACCACCAACTAAATATTTTATTAAAATTACCCCATTAATTGTATAAGTAAAGTTATAAATAGTCCAAATTTACCCATTAATTGTATAAGTAAAGTTATAAATAGTCCAAATTTAGAATCTATCGGAAAGTATTTTATGAAATACAAAGTTCTAATACTAAAAATGACAAAATGGATCGTTACATTAGATACCAATTTACCCATCGTTCGTCGTCGAACAATCAAAAGAAGGTGAGTGTCAGAAACGGTGCCGCATGTCTCAGTGATTCCTTCAAAATAATTGTACTGAATGTCTTATCTCAAACTTATCAAATTAACCAACTGCAGATCTACACCTCCTCCTATAAAATGACTAAAATAGGGACATCTCAATACTTTGATGAGAATTATTTTTCTATGCAAGCTCGACTAACAACAAAACTATTCTCAAGTGAACTCTTGAACTAACAAATTCTACAACTAGACCTTGACACAACCATAAGGACAAATGTTTTCTAACCTAACCATGCTAAAATCCCGAATCAAGATTGGTTACAATCAAGAGTGAACCTGAACAAACCATCTGAGATATGTTAGAAATTACATCTTCACAACATAATATCTCATCGATCTTAAGCTATAAAAATACGATATTTAGACATCAATTAATCTTCAACGAAAACCGAATTCATCCTATACAAAGGAGAAAATGATCAAGTACCCACCATCAAGTAATACACCCAAGCAAATAAAACCTCTACCAACATTGTCAATATGTTTGATTAGTAGCTATTACTGACGAATCATAAGAATCACAAAACTAGACACAATTGTTGTAAAATTCAATCACATATAGCCAAAACATGATACCGATGATGAGATAAATCTTAAGTCTATCGTACAACTATAAATATTCAGAGTAGCTCTCCTATGAATTCTCATAAGCAAATTATTGTGCGTAGAATCACTAGTATGCTTCAATTATCCCAAACAACACTAAATCTTCCATGACTGAAATGAAAAAGTTTAACCAAGGAAGTGACCCTACTAGGAGGACAATCACAGAATTGGTACACTCAATCTCTAATAGGGCTCATCCATAGAATAAAAAAAACACGGACGGAGAAAGTGAATCATACTCTAAATCATGCCTAAAATGAAGTAGTTGGTCACATATAAATGTAGATAACTAAGGTCTAATAACTCTAGATACTCCTTCCATAGTTCCTATATGAAACATTTTCATAAATTTGACTCTATCTCTTAGATTTTCTAGCTATCCACAATCACCAATTTAATCCCTATTATAATTGCACACAAACTTGATTTATCAAACCCCATATCCACTAAAATCAACAATCTTAATATTTATAAAACATCATAACCACATTCATCATCTACATTGCACTAAAACCATTATTAGTATCAATATTCTTAGAAAATATATGTTCAAACTATGGCTATCTTCCTTTCTATTTAAACATTTCATGACAATTACGAGTCCCAAATATGACTAATAATAATATTTAAAATTTGATAGTACCTTTCCATTGAGATGAAACTATTAAATCACAGCAAAAGTCAACTTCACACTACTTCCACATACCATGTTTTAGCTACCATTCTAAACCATCAGATACCTCATTATTTGTTAACGTAAAACTCAAATATTTAAAAAAGTTGATGATAAACTCTTTGTAATTCTGTTCCGAAATGGTTCACATCTTGTACACATATCTAAAATAATAGGAAAAAATCAATACAACCTTCGACTATTCCAGAAGGATTTATACAAAAGGTTTTATTCCTTCAGTTTTCTTAAATTATTTGGACCCTTCAATATATTATACTCTTGTTTCTCAAGCACGCTTTAACCTTTTTACCTACAATCCATGACATTTTACTGCACACTCTAAATCAAAACTCTGAGGGAAGCCCTTTCTTATATTCTTGAACAATAAAAAGTAACAAAATTTACGAGTCCAATCATATGTAAGTCCTTCCAAATGATCGATACCTGATACAATCAATCATTTATTACCTTACAAATTCAAACCTTGACAAAACATATCACCAGGAATGCAGGCCTATGTTGAAAATTTTAAATTATAAATCAAATTGTATGACCCGACACCCTTATCTATCTACATTTTCTTATACTTTGAAGATTTTTACGAATTTTTGTACCTTAGCTTATCATTGATCACCTCTCCATAAAACTTACCATATCCTTCACAAAAAATCCAACCATACTCATTACTAAATTCAACACTACAACAGAACTGATCATCCCGCTCAAGTTAAACTTATGTATACTCATTTCTTAAGTTTTACCGAATAGCTTTTAACCAATCTAATGATCCTATGACACTATAATTGTAGAAAACAAAATAGATAAAACCACGTGTCCCTGAACCCAATTTTCAACCCCTTCTAAGATATTTTTTAAGTCCTTGCAATCAAATAAAATATTCCTGCTCTCACTTATTTCTGAAAGCTACATATTCCACAATTTTTATCTTCTTTAATTATGACTCTATCTCCTTTAAATTCTATTCGAGCGGTACCCGAACATCTCTCAAAAATTTTCATACAACCACGTTACTCACTAAATAATAGGAAATCACAACCTTAGATACTTACAAGTCATTCTTATCATACAAAATTCAATTAGCCAACAATTTGTATAATGTAGTTACATCTCAATAATATTCCATCACTAACTCGTATACCATCGTGCTCAACAAGCCCTTATCATCACCTCGAAGTGAATATTTTCCTTTTACATGACACCTTAAACTCCATTATACCAAACAAATTCAAGGGACAAACCCAGTTTTATACGCACATTCTTAGTGCAATCTACAATTTCCTTCACCCATGTATGCTTAAATTGAAACTTTCTTTATTCATAAGTTTGTCCTTCCACTAACAATCCACTCCTTTGAAGCTTAAGATAAAATCATCTGGCCTCATTTAAAATCCTCAAGAAACAATTTCCATCCTATATGCTCTACGATCCTACAAAATATCGACCACTAAAATCATTCTTAAACATAATGCTTAACCCAAGCATCGGTAGTAAAAAGTTAGTTGATTTCTCAAATTCAAATGCAACACTAAATCCCATTAGTTGAACATGTGATATAACTGACCACTCCTTAAGTAGTTAGTATTCAGAATTGACAATCTACATATTCATTTCCATATAACACTAGTACCAAACCATGAAAGTTTTTTATATATGTCACTAGAACACATCATACCTATCTACAAGATTATACAGAAATAGCCCACACATTTATACATTTTGAATAAGTGCAAAACATTACCAAATCTGTTGTGTTTAGCCCAAGCAAATTTGCAGTCTTTTTTAGATCGTGTCAATAACAAAAGGAACACATTTCATACATTTAACGAAGTAAGTATTCGTACTATTATAGTAGTCGCATCGTGATGGTATTTCATATAAAGATTCTGACTAGATAGTCTTATACGAGTTTAATGTTTCTTACTATGAAGTCTAAGTAAACAAAAAGTTCAAAATTTTTCGCTAAAATTAACCTAAATGATGTAAAGATGACGTATGTAGGCTTGTAGACTTTTTGGGAGTACTTAGTCCCCTTATAACTTTTGAGAAATGAAATGAACTCTCTATTCTTCACTTAACTTGAAAATTTGAGTCTTAATTAATTCTTAGGGAATACTAAGTTCACTTATATCTGTGAAGAAAATACTTTAACTTTGTCTTTTTACTTTAACTTGAAACTTGCGTCTTAAAATGAATTAAAAACATTTAATGAAGACTCTTGAAAGACTTTAAAAACTTTTCTTTGTGTTACTTCTTATCTTTAGACTTGACTCTAAAGTTTTTAGACTTTGATCTTTACTTTCCTTGAATTAGATTATGGATTCAAGGTTATGAGTTGTGTTCTTTGATGGTTTATAGGTTCTTAGAAATCATTTTAAGTAATTAAAATCATTGAAAGTGTAATCATTATCTGGCTCATTACAACTTCCAGCAACAAAAGAGATTTAGAAAACCAACAAAACATTGTTGCAACTTGCAACCTCCATTGCAATAGATTCCAAGTTCTAGCAGATAGCAACCAAGAAAATAATAAAACATTGATGGACCTGCGAGAAAAACAACTGTTTAGACAAATGATCTACATTTCATAATAGAATATATAAAACTATCAAGTAAGTTATATAAATAAGTTCTTTACTTACTCGTTACCACACATCACTAGTTGATAGTTGAACTTACAAGCTGCAACTATATATCAATTATACTAGATTCAGTCCCACTACAAGAAAAATCTAAAAAAAATGAAAGAATTTGTCAAGACAACATCACAACAACACTAGCAAGTTCAACAAACTTATGTCCATCACTAAAATAGAGTTAGTTACAAACTAAAGTCATCATTATCTGGCTCAGAATAGTCATGAGACTTTGAAGGATAAAGAGATGTATGTCAAGTTCTCTAAATGTGAGTTTGGATTGAATCTGTGGTTCTTAGGGAACATAGTATCTGGAGAAGGAATTAGAGATGACACCCAAAAGATATAAGTAGTTCAAAGTTGTCTTAGACCCACATCTCCAACTGATATTAGGAGTTTCTTGAGTTATGCGTCGTGATTCCTTCTTTCGGGAAGGCAGAGGTTACTGTAATTCTCATGAGATGAGACTGACCATCTAGACGGGTATGGTTCTTCTTATATCTCCTAGTCTTTGAACCTATACTTCCAATATAGGGTTCTAGCAAGGTTCGATTCCCTATATACGCTAGCATATTTTTGTTCACTTTAGCCGGTGATTCCACCTCTTTTCGGTGTGTGGTGAAATAATGGATTTCATGATGCTCACATGATCTATGTCAATGAAGGTTAAAGTTCCAAAATAAACAATGAGGCCAACCTCAAGTAATGCACAAAATTAAATGAAGGATACAAAATGTGTTAGGATAGGATAATCTAATCACACATGCTTATAACTTCATTAATCATATACTTCACATGCATAGAAATAGGTAATGATGCATAGAATAACTATTCTTTTCTTAATCATCGTGAATCTACCCTATTCATAGTCATTCATGAAGTGTGTGTGTGTATATTGGTCAACATGATCACATAATTGCTATAACATAAACTTGAGAAGGTCATCCTCTAAAGATCACAACACATGTACAACATTCCTCAAGTCTCAAGTCATACACACATATAGATTAATAAGGACTATAACTACACAAACTCACATTACATCATAGGAGAAAAGAACATATTCAATCGTTAGGATAGAAGACTTCTAACATACTTTGCTCACACATTCATATATGGTTCGTACAGGTTGGTCATGCTACAAGGATATTCATCATCATTATCCATCTAGACCACATCCAACTCTGACATGATCATCACATATAGTTAACATCATCCACACACTTATATCATGCAACTAGTGTTGAACACTATTCACATACTCCACATAATATCAATGAAGTTAGAACATGATATTAGAATCAAGGCTAAATCCTTAAACTTCCTAAACATGGAATTCATCATATCAATTCATCTTGCATCTAATTCCTTCAATTCCATGATCATAACACATAAACATGTACAAAAATGTAAACAACGCTACCATAAGTGGACCATACCAATCATCAAAATTTAATGTACATTTTAAGCTAATTAGAAGAAATAGGTGAACTTATAAAATCTTCAACTTAATGATCATCTTGATCAATTCAAAAAAATTCATAATCAATTGACATAAAGGAATATTGAATTAACAAGTTCATTACAATCTAAACATAATCCAATCATCAAGATCACAAGACCCACATTTAGGCCAATTTGAGAAATTAGGAGGATCATGGGTTCATCATGAAAATGGATTGAAATAATCATAAATTTATCAATAACATACTTTTGAAATCAATTTGAATAAGAACCAGTGGCTAGATTGAAAAATTGCAATTTTCATCATGAAATCTTCTTTGAAAACCTTTGGAGAAACTCCTTAGATAAATGAATAACTAATGATGAAGGATCACTAAACCTTATTGATTGAATACCCATGAAATTGGAGAAGAAATCGTTCAAAGATTCATCTTCTAGCTTGAGGTTGAGCTTTCCTCCAATGGAGGTTTGAGAGAATTAGGAAGAGAAGAGAGCTTTTGAGATTTTTGATTTTCTTATTGGTTGTTGGTGTTTTTACTTGGTAATGGATTTAAACAGATATTAGAAACAGTCTCTAACTGCATCTCAAATTACCTAAAACACCCCTATATTTATTTACACTTTAAGCATGTCAAACTTAACTTTCATTTTCGAAATCTTCATCGGGGAACAAGTCCGCGACGCGGAGCTGTTCCCATGTGATTTTTGGATTCAATTCTCGGGGAAGTAGAGTCTGCGTTGTGTACCCAAAGCGTAGAAACTTTTGGTCATGGGAGACGCTATTCCTCGACGCGGATCTATTTTATCAAGGAACAACGTCTTGCTGCCTTGGGCAGCTTGTTGGTCCAAGGTTGGGTCCTCCTCAAAGACCCCTAGGGCGGTCATTCGGTTGTCGTGACCGGAAGTTTCGACCCTAAATACAATCATATACATGTTAGTATCCTATCCTATCAATATGAGGACCAAAAATTACATAAAACATACCAAGACACACTAGAACACACTAGCACACCTAAAGGCTAAATTTCAAATGTCCTGGACGTTTGACCTTCAATCAACTTCAAGTAAATAATGAACACTTTAAATCACTTAATTAACATATTATTAATCTTTTTAGGCACAAGTGAGGCTCTAGAAACGTAAACTCATTTTTTAGGACTTGATAGGGTAGTCATGGGTCGTGAAAAACTTAGTATTCACAACATAAGGTTCAAGTTTCTTAGGGTGTCTTATAAATCGTGCTTAGTAGAGTTATTTATATGAGTGTGAAGCATGCCATGTTTATGAATAGGAAACTACGAGACATTTAATAAACTTCACTTCTTTCGTTACTCTGAAGTCGTGTGATAGAGTTTTAACTCTATAACATTTCCTCAGATTTCATGTTCTATGCGTTTTTGGAATGATGCTTCAAGAAGAGCCTAGTGAGAAGGAACATGAATGTGGATCTAAAAGCTCCACAAGCTCTAGTTGACCTTTTTGTCGAGCAAGTCACTCATATTATCTTTAGGTATGTTTTTCAAGTGTTGGTCCAAACCATGATTGTTCAAACTAATGTATAGGTTCTAGCTCTCGTAAATCCAAATATGGGTATTTTAATGATAAGGGTTCCAGATTTCACAAGGATAAATCCTCTGAAATTCCATGGTTTGAAAATGAAAAAGAATCCAAATGAGTTCATTGAAGAAATTTAAATGATTATGGACATTATAGGTGACACTCTGGTTGAAAAGGTGGACTTTACCCCTTATAATCTTGAAAGGGGTTGCTTAAGTATGATTTTCTCAATGGAATGATGAAGGAGCTATTGATATGGGGGCCTTTAGATTGGGAAAATTTCAATTGAGTGTTTCTTGATCGATTCTTTTTCGTAGAAATGAGGGAGGACAAAGTGCAAGAATTTTTTTAGTTTGAGTAAAGGGAATATGATCATGAAGGACTATGCTATAAAGTTCACTCAATTGTTCGACAATGGTTATCGATTCTAGATTTTGCATGAGAGTTTTTTTCTGGTGTTTCCAAAATGGTTTCCAAAGAGTGTTGAACAAACATGTTTATTAAGGATATGTACATATCATGGTTGATGACTCAAGATAAAAAAAATGAAAAAGCTTAAGAAGAATACTAGTGAGACTAAATGAGCTTAAGCTGATAGTGTTGACTATTATATCAGATATCTGGTGATGGTGGTCATTCCAGTTTCGAGAATAATATTTAGGTCGAATTCATCTTCAGTTAGTGCTATTGTGTCTAACTTCATCAAGGATAGGGTTTCTAAACCTAAGCATTTAGGGAATGCCTTTAGTGGATAAACTTTTCCAACATACCAAGATGTGGTAAGATTCACATGGGGAAGTTTTTAGCCGATACCAAGGGTTTATTTGCAAGTGGTAAGATTATGCAAAAAATAATGGATTGTCTAACAGCTCCCAGTAAATATAGAGTGATTCGATAGAAGACTCACTCTACTTCTTCAAGTTGCACTACTCAACATGGTGGTTAATCTAGTTCTAGTGGAACATAGTGCCACAACATATTTTATGGTCACTTGTATGTTACGAATCATATAGTTTGATGTTCATGAATTTCTTGATGTAGGGGATACATTGTATTTTCTGACTTATAATGTTGCTGTAAAGTTTGATGTCTGTTTAAAACTATTACTCAAACTTTTCTCGGGCAGTACTCTTTTTGATGATTTTATTATTCTTAAACGGGTCTATTAGAAATTTCCTAGTTTATATTTTTTAGAAAACCACCGAGTTGATCTTGTAGAGTTAGACATGATTAGTTATGATGTTTATCTTAACATAAATTTGATTCATGCTTGTTAAGCCTCTATTGAGTATAGAACTTGAGTGGTTACGTTTCAGTCTAAGAATGAACCATACATATAGTGGAAGAGAAGTATTTCCACTCCTAGAGATTAGTTTATCTCGTGCCTTTAAGGCTAGAAAGATGATTTCTAAGGGTTGTAATTATCATCTACTATGGGCTAGGGGTATGAATTCTAAAGCCCCTCTTGAGTTACTTCATTTTATTAATAAGTTTTCTAAAGTGTTCCTAGATAATCTTCCTCGTGTTCCTCCTAGAAGAGAAATCAAGTTTAGAATTGACCTTTTTTTCTAGATACCCACCTATCTCTATTCCTTCTTACAAAATGGATACGGTAGAACTAAAAGAATTGAAGGATCATTTAAAGGATATCTTCGATAAAGGTTTCATTAGACCGAGTATTTCACCATAGGGTTCTCCAATTTTGGTTATTCAAAATAAAGATGGTTCCCTTATAATGTGCATTGATTATTGGAAACTAAACAAGATCACGATAAAGAATGAATATCCATCCCTAAAATTGATTTCTTGTTCAATCAACTTTAGGGTGCGAGCTTTTTTCCAAGATTGATATTTGATTAGGCTTTCATCAGTTGATGTGAGGAAGTTTGACATTCCGAAGAAGTATTTTCAAACTTGATATGGTCACTATAAATTCCTAGTTATGTAATTTAGACTAATGAATGCTCTTGCATATTTTAAGGATTTGATGATCAAGATATTCAAGCAACACTTAGATGTGTTTGTGATCGTATTCATTGATGAAATCTTGATTTATTCTCAAACTAAGGATAATCATGTCGATCATTTGAGAATTATCTTGCAAGTTATCAAGGATGGTCATTTGATTGCTAATTTAAGCAAGTGTGAGTTTTGGCTAACGTTGGTTGCATTCCTTAGTCATATTATTTCAGGAGAAGGTATTTAAGTTGGTCCTTATATGAATAAGGTAGTTAAGAAATTGCTTATACCTCTTTCTCCTTCTGATATTCGAAGTTTCTTAAATTTGGATGGTTACTATAGAAGGTTAGTGGAAGGGTTTTCCTCTATCTCTTTGCCTTTGATTACTTTGATTGAGGAGAAGGTAAAAATTCAATGGTATAAGGCTTGTGAAAAGACTTATCAAGATCTGAAGACTTGGCTCACTTCAGCCCCAATCATGACATTATCAGAAGGTTCCGGTGGATTAATTTTATATTGTGATGCTTTAAGAATTGAGTTTTGGTGTGTTTTGAGGCAGAATAGTAGAGTAATTGTGTACACATTAAGGCAACTTAAAGTTCATGAAGATAAAAATTGTCACATGATTTGGAGTTTGTTTGGGTTGTGTTTTCCTTGATGACATGGAGACACTTTTTAATTGATTTCCATTTAGATGTGTTCACCGATCATATGAGTTTCTATTTCTTATGTCATGATTATGCTAATTGCTTGTATGAGACCACTTCCGAGTCAATTAATACTTCGTGTTACGTCTAGGGGTACCAAAATTGAGTTTAATTAAATTACATTTGCATATACTACTTAATGTTCCAAATATTTATAGTATTATAATAAATTAATCTTTTCTTAAAATACCTGAACTCTGAAGAATTATTTTTTATTATATCTCAGTTTTTAGATTTTCTAATTTAATTAGTGAAGTATTATTACTGATTAAAGAGAAATAAGTAAAAAGTAATATAAACAAGTATACCTATGATTAAAAATATTACTATAAATTCTTTGCAAAGTGATGTTCAAATGAAATAGGCAAAATATATCAATATTCTTTTCCTTTTTCTTTTTTACTAAGACCTATTTGTTTAATTTATATAATTTTAAGAGTTTATTTAATTTATACATATTTAAAATTGAAAAACATAAATATTTTCTTAAGCTAAATTAAAAACACGTTTATATATTATGCAATAAAATATTGATAGCTCATTTTTAAACATTTAAGCAACTCTAAAAGATATGATTTGGTGGTTTTGAAGTTAACAAAACAAAATTTACACCACATATAATAATAAGTCGTTATCTACTTTGCTGTTTCTGGAATTTGACACTTCACTTCTATGGACTAAATTCTAATACCCTAAAACCCTTCAATAAACCTTGTTCTTTTCATCTTTTCTTTAAGAAGGGTTTCAGTTTTGAAATTTTGCAATCAGTGTTTATCTATCTAATTATCTCTGTTGAGGTAAATAGAAACTAATTCATTAAGTTGTAATTTATCGCTCTATTTTGGTCCTAATATGCTTTAAGGAAAAGGAAAAACTTGTGTTCTAAGTTTGTGTATTAGTTTATGTAGAATTAGGTAAAATTCAAAAACTAATTTACTTCGGATATTTTTTAATTTGTATGCCCATAAATGTTGGTTCCTACATTATGTGCTGTGTAGATAAATTGTACGTTGATAGGTTGTATTCGTATCTTGCTTTCTGCTGAAATGATCTAAGTTGATTTATTTTAATTACATAAGTTATAGTTTATTGAATATGATTTTACTGTGGTCTTTTTGACTAATTATAATTTAAATTCTTTTTGTAGCCAAGTGATGCAGCTAGTGAATGCATTTCACGTATGAATAAAAGAAGATCCTCCGATTGAAGTAATCCAAATAACAATTAATGAAGTTTTGTCGTACAATGGTATTAGATAATTACGTACAGTAATTGCCCATTGTTATTG